ATTCATACTCTTTATGCTAAACAAAAATTTATACTATCTGTTACAAGATCTTTGAAAATATAAAATCGAAAATATAATATAACTAAAACTTGACAAAAAAAACTTTGCATGTAAATGTTCCAAAGTCACTCTCGTTAAATTGTCATTAAACCTTGTCATAAATGTTCAAAATTCGTTACCTCACTTCTGCATTTGTATTGGCGGTGAAAAGGTACAGCTGACCACAGTATAATACCTAGGGGTTATATTATACTGCGCTATAAACTTCTTTTGGTCGATTTCACACACTTTTGGTCGGTTTACACACTTTGTCGCACTCACGGTTCACTGTTCGAAAGCTCATCGCTGACATCGTTTTTATTCGATCATAAGGTAGTTATTAGACTGAAACCATAAAATTGAAATGTTTTTGTGCTAAAAGTTTAGCAGAAACTATTTTATCATCATTTTTTCGAAGAAAAATTTATGAATATTTTAAACAAATAAAAAATTCCCAAATTTATCATTTCAGTCAAACAACTATCTACTCAACATGTTCATATTTTATCAATAATGACATACGAGTATATTGACTATTTCCATTCTAAATATAGTCCGTCTAGAAAGTATCCGGAAAAAAGAAAGCAAAATTAAAGACTTGAGTTAAAAAAATTATAACAAATTATTAATTTTATTTACTTATACAACCTCCATTTAACTCCAAACACTTAACTAAACGTCCAGATACACCCGAAACTAGGTCCACACCATAATATTCAGTGGCGGTATTCCAGGCCTGTAAAACTGAGCGAATCAAGTCTTGTTTATTTCGTGAAGCTGCTCGTTCCACTTCAATCTTCATTAGTCCCCATATGTTTTTAATGGGACTAAGGTCTGGTGAAGCTGCTGACCATGGAATTGTTGCCAAATGGTGTTCTTGCATCCAAGCTTGAGTATAGGCAGACGTATCGCATCTTGCATTATCCTGCTGAAAACGCCACCCCTCTATAAACCACCCCAATATAAAATTTCAGACCTTCCAATTGGAGCTAATACAGAAAATCTTATTTTAGACAATAATATGGAAATTAGGGCATGTGAAGATTACAGGTACCTGGGATCGATATTTACAGGAGATGGAACGGACGATAGAGAAATAAACAACAGAGTAATACAGGCACGAAGAGTTATCAGATGCATAAATGGCATTCTATGGAGCACTGAAATTACAAAAAACAGGAAATATAATATATATGAGACACTAGTTAAAAGCATATTACTCTATGGATGTGAAACATGGCGACTCACTGAAAGGAATAAAAGGAAATTAGAGACAACAGAAATGGACGCGATTAGAAGAGCAATGAGAATTTCACGGAGGGATAAGATCAGAAATGAAGACATTAGACAACAGATGGGACTAGAGGGAACAATAGTAAATGATATAGAACAAAAACAATTAATATGGTACGGCCACGTTCAGAGAATGCACAATGAAAGAATTCCAAAACAAGTCATTCATTGGATAACACCTGGTAAACGAAAGAGAGGACGTCCCAAGAAAACATGGATGGAAGGAATAAGAAGGTCGATGAGCGAGAAAAATCTGACCGAAGATCAATGGGAAAATCGCACAGGGTGGAAGTTAAGCATCGGACAACGTCGAAGGACGTTCTGATCCGAATTTATATATATATATATATATATATATATATATATATATATATATATATATATATATATATATATATATATATATATATATATATATATATATATATATATATATATATATATATATATATATAAAAATCAGATACTTTCTAGACTATATTTTGAGAACGGTTGCCGCGTAGCGATGTTTACCAAGAGACATTTTTTACGTACAAAATCACGGAAATGTATATTTTTTTACTCAGTAGTTTTACACAGGTATGGACGAAAAGTTATTACTCATCAAAACAGTTAAAACACATGTAGGTGGCGTCCACTACAAATAGAAGTCATATTGACATCAAAATCAAATTTCTCAAGTCAAAAAACTCTGAGATACATTTCATCCAAATATTGACATTTGATTTCATCCAAATATTGACATGATTTCATCCAAATATTGACATTACTTCAAAAATTATTTAGAAAAAATCGAAGTAAAAATGAAACTTCTACACCCTGTATCTCCAAAACTAAGTATTTTAGGCCATACATTTATACGAAGTTTTTTTATTACTTTTATCTGCAGAATATGCTGCCGAAGTTTCCGGAATACAGTTCGGACCACCCTGTATAGCTGTTCTCTAATAAAATTTTAAGTTTATATTTTTTCGTCCGTCAGATATACTTCATAATAACCATGAACGTGAATTATTATATTAATAATTTTATTTGTAAACTTTTAGATTAAATTATTAAACTTATCCGACTCCAAGACAGTAAGTCGCGTTGCCATTCAACATTTCCAGACGCAGCGGCAGATATCTCTCGAGCGTCGATGATAGACTGTTTTGTGCCTCGTTAGAATTATACACGGTTTAGACTCGAGAATAATGTCTTAACTGTCACAATCGTTGAGTAGCACGGCGTGAAGTAGTTTGTTTTGTTGCGCGATGCTAGGAAATGAATTTTAATCTTACGTCGGGCCGTATTACATGTTTTGAGTAGTGAGAGGTTTGAGGAGGAGGAGGAACGGTGGAAATGTGCGCCGCGGTTCTTAGCTGTGACGTTGTTTGACTTTTGGATGAATAGGGAAGTGCCAGATGGCATTTGTCTTCCTGTTGTGGGTTTCGGGAGTTTAAACTTACAAGATTTAACGATATAAAGTACAGAAATTTAAAAGGATATTGAAATTAATTGTGTCTATAAACCAGGCCACTCATAGGGGAGCATGTTGGACGTGGGCAACATGTTTGTGTTGGTTGGTCAACATGGTCCTAAGCACATTGACATACATGCTTAGCATACCCTCTAGTGAGTGGCCAGATACCTCGATTAATGTTTTCAGTTGCATATTTTTTGCAAAAAAAATCTTAAAGTGTGGAGGATGTCATGGTGTAAGAGTAACAATTTTCTAATTTTAGACACCACACTCTGTATATTATTCATTTCTTACATACTGCACAAAATTCTAGATATAATTTCTGTGTATCGAATATTTCCGGAAATATTAAATGTCCTAACAAATCGATAAAAAATTTTTTTGTTTAATAACCAATGTATAAGAACAGGCGGTGTCTCTGTTGAGATTTTTTTTTCAATACAATTTAATAGTCGGGCCACTTAGCGCTTTATACAGGATGTGTTTGTAATACGTGCAAATATTTTTAGGGCTGGTAGATTTTAATAAAAGGCTCATGTTTTTCCTTTACCGTTTTGCAAATAAATCCAAAATAACCGACAGGGTGGTCCAAAATGTATTCCAGAAACTTCGACAACATATTTTCCAGATAAAAATAAGTAAAAAAGTTGGTATAAATATGTCCTAAAATGCTTAGTTTCGCAGATACAGAGTGTAAAAGTTTCAATATTTGGATGAAAATTGGTGTCTGCGAGAGTTTTCTAACATGAGAAATGTGATTTTATTGTCAATATAACTCCTACTCGCAGGGGGACCACCTATATATTTTTAACTGGTTTGAAGAGTAATAAATTTTCGACCGTACCTGTATAAAACTACTTAGTAAAAAAATATACATTTACGACGTTTTTTACGTAAAAATGGTGTCTTGGTTAAAATAGCTACGAGTAATGGTTCTCGAGCTATTTGGAATCTAAATTACCAATTCTTGTCATAATTAACATGAAATAAACATGTTGACTAAATAGTTATTACAATGAAATCGTAAATCTGAAATATTTTTTTTGCAAAAAAGTTCAACAAAAACTGTTTTATCATCATTTTTTGAAGAAAAATTTATGATTAATATAAAAAAATAAAAAATTCCTAAATTTATCATTTCAGTCAAATAACAATCTATATACTCGGTTGGGTAATAACTATAGAACGGTTTCTCGTAGAGATTTTTACGAAGAGATATTTTTAAAAAAGTTTTAAGTTTTTTAAAAGTTATTACTCTTCAAAATAATTAAAAAATATGTAAGTGGCGCCCTCTAAAAATAAGTCATATTGATATAAAAATTAAATTTCTCATATCAAAAAACTTCCAGACACCAATTTTTATCAAAATAGTGACGTTACTTCAGAATCTATTTGGAAAAAATCAAAATAAAAATTAAAATTCTACACTCTGTATCTCCGAAACTAAGCATTTTAGGATATACATTATTTTATCTGCAGAATATGCTGCCGAAATTTCTGAAATACAGTGCAAACCACCTTGTATTTTACTTCAATTTTCTTTTTGAGGATTTCCAAAAAAAAATAATGTTTAAATGTTGAAAACCGCTGGATCTTTTCTTGGTTTTCTTTCTTGTAAATTTAATCTACTGCCTATGTTGCCATATTATGAAGAAATTATGTTTGTTTTTAACTAAGAGCTAAAAAAATCCAATTTTTATTCAAATATTCTAAATTTTCATTTTTTTTCGCAAAAAAAACTGATAATCGTGTTTTGGGGGTCGAAGTACCTATACCAACCCTAAAAATATTTGCACTTATTTAAGACTTACCCTGTATAACAAGAGAAAAATAAAATCGATTTTACAATATTTATTTTTTTTTAGAATATCTTCGAAAGTTTTTATATTTCTTTAATTTTCAAAACACCATTTTATTGGCCAAAAATTGCGAAACTTCCTTTACGTACCTCTCATAATTTCCTAGATCCCAGTCGACACAAGACGGTACGGAATTGCCTTTCATTTATTATAAATATCTTTTAGAGCTACACCAGACACCTAAATAACAGTTGTTGATGAACGATGTCCGTGCAAAGAGCGCTCCCAAACTACATTACCATTCATAATTTCGCGTCGCCCAATCAAAACCAGATCCCTTCCGTTGTCCCCCGAAAACGACCGACAATATCTCAGCAGCATGCTCGCTCTAAATGTAACTCACTCACCTGCAGCCGGCGACAGTTTGGTGATGACTCCCCATCGCTGTTTCCACTGTAACAAACAATAAGCGGAAGATTAGTAGGGTTCATTTAATAGAATGCAGGGATTTCGGCCTGCTATTAGCCATTTTCAGCTAGGTAATGCGATACAATGGGATGTAGAGCGAGTGGGATGGTCAGATAACGCAACATATTGGATGCGTCTATTAATTTTTCTGTTTAAGTTTCACATTTCAGAAGTGGGATATTTTTTAAAAGTTGCTTTTCATCATAACTTTTTTACTTTTTCAGATAATAAACGAGATTTGGTACGTTAGTATATGACATAAATCAGGATTGATTGACGTATTCAATTATTTTCGGTCGCGTCCTGTTTTACCGGAAATGACTAAAATTTTTGATTTTTAAGCGGTACCGTCGATATTTTTTTAATTTATTTGATAGGAAATGGTATTTTTAATAGCCATCATATGAGAAATTTTGACATTTTCGCTAAGAAAAATAGTATTTTAAATTTTAATATAGAGAGTCATGGCTGTATTAAAATTACCAGTTTTTAATCAAGGACCCTTGAAATCATGTGTCATGAAAAAAATTGGCATTTTCTCATTTCATTTATCTCGTATTGTTTGATATTTTGTAATTAATAAATATATAGATTTTTCATATAGAATGCTGTTTTAATTAAAAAGATTACCTAGTACCTATATTTCAATAATAAGTATCATTTAACCAATAACTGTAAATATATAAATAGACGGGAAACTTTTACAAAATAAGAAGCATTACTTTATAAAGCAGGTAAAAGTCATTTATAAAATAATAATAAATATGTTATAAAATTGAATATATTTCAAGCTGTTGAATTTAGGCTTAGAACATTATACCGGGTGCGTTTTAAAAGTGGCTCACCTCTATAACTTTTTAATTTTTTTACATATAAAAGAAACGAGATTTTGTATGTTAGTATACGACATAAATTAGGATTGTTTGAAGTATTCAATTGTATTTGGTCACTTCCTGTTTTACCGAAAATAACTACAACTGTTGATTTTCAAATGGCACCCTCGGTATATTTCTACTTTATTTGATAGAAAATGACCCTCTGAATAGAATGACATCATATGTCAACTTCTGACATTTTTACATATGGTTTATTTGAAATTGTAACATGCGGTTCATAACGACAATTTGACTCGAAATACCAAGTGTGTGGTAGCAAATTATTCATAAGAAAAGGCTTCTTCCAAATATGCTAATGAGTCACCCTTGTTCCATTTGAAAAAATTGAGATATGATTAAAAATACGATTTGGTTGTGACGAAAAAAAAAGACACGAAAAACATTAGACGATCAAAACTATTTTTCCAAGGCTCCTTGATTGATAATTAGTGTTTTTTTACACAGCCATAACATTCTGATAACTCTAAAAAAATACAACATTTAGGCTTGTATCTCAATCAGATTAAAAAAAAACATTATGTGTTTTAAACAACTGTGTATAACATACCATTTTAGAACATTTAATAAATTATTTTTATACGGTGGACTTCCCCCATGACAATTTGTTACTTTTTAATATATTTAAAAATAAATGTTGTTGCGTCTGTTTCAGACAAACCAAAAATAAATGGCACTGACCCTTCAGAAAAATGCTGGATATATTTTTATGACACGTTATTATTTAAAAACTAATATCACAAAAGGAATGAATAACTTTCATAATAATCGAATAAACATTTTTGTGACAGAAAATCGATGGTAATATATTCATATATGAGTGTATGCCCTTAAAGGGCTGTTTCGCTATTTATGTATAGGATGACTACATATATTTAACTCAGTATAATAAAATATCGGAATATATTTATAAAACTAATTAACAGTAGATTTAATTGTATAATTTATTAATATCCATTACAATTATATCTAAAACCCCCAAAATAGGTTGATATATTTTTTTCAGATAGCTTCATAACATTTTAATGCATAATTTATGCTTCTATGAGACACTTTTTATAATAAATATATTTATGAAGTATAATAAAATATACTATATACCGGTCGGAATATAGTATGGCGTTGGGAGGTACCAAATTTCGAAAAAAAAACGGTTTACCAATGTTCTTAATAACAGCCAAAATGTATTATATTTATATACCATTTCGAGGGTTGTAACTTTTCGGGAAGCATTTTTAAGGCATATGTTCATAGAAACTTTTTGTTTTATTTTTATCTGTAGTATCAACAAATGGAGTTAAATACACTATTTTTGACACCCTGCATACAAATAAACCAGCTACAAAAGAATAAACAATATTTAAAATAAATGTAAGTATATTTCACAAAATATATAATTTAAAAGCATAACAAAAAACTAATCTTAAAACAAAACAAAAAATAAACCAACCGATATAAAACTGTTATCTTTAATATAGGTTTTTATTAGAAATTTGTAACAGCACACCTATAACTTTTAATACAAGCCACGACGACATCTTGAATATACGATAGGTCGAAGTTGCTACAACGCCATCCCCTATCGATATCCTATATATCAAGGCCACTTGTGTACATAGTTTGTCTGGCTAGACCGGCTCACTCGCATCTTAAACCATAAAACCGATATCTTGGGCTAGTTTGGAGAAGATATTCGGGCGGGGGCGGCTACTTTATACAGATTAATTTTCCCTTATCGCCGAGCAATATCTGTCAGAAATTTAACCGATAGTTAAATCATCAATTTATGAGTGAATCTATATTTTAGTGTGTACTTGAATTAATTTGATCCCTTTATTCTATAGATATAGTATACTGTAAAATACAGGGCGGATAATAAAAGTGATAATTAATATTATAATAAGAGTTTAATTGTTCACTAGGTAATGCTAAGTATAGTGGAGTGCCCAGAGACTTTTACCTCGGAATTCAATTACTGTAAACTTAAAATTAATTTTATTTTTCAGAAACTATTAGAGACAGAGTTTACCAAAAATGCTTTTTATAACTACTAGTGGGTAAATGAATTTGTAGATATATTACGACTTTTCTTGGAACTTCAGTTTCGGAGATATACATTTAAACGGACATTTTTAAAAAAATTAATTTTATTTTTCAGAAACTATTAGAGACAGAGTTTACCAAAAATGCTTTTTATAACTACTAGTGGGTAAATGAATTTGTAGATATATTACGACTTTTCTTGGAACTTCATTTTCGGAGATATACATTTAATCGGACATTTTAAAAAAAATTAATTTTATTTTTCAGAAACTATTAGAGACAGAGTTTACCAAAAATGCTTTTTATAACTACTAGTGGGTAAATGAATTTCTAGATATATTACGAATATTTTTGGAACTTTAGTTTCGGAGATTTTGATCGGACCTTTTTAAAAAAATTAATTTTATTTTTCAGAAACTATTAGAGACAGAGTTTACCAAAAATGCTTTTTATAACTACTAGTGGGTAAATGAATTTCTAGATATATTACGAATATTTTTGGAACTTTAGTTTCGGTCTAACTAAAATGTTTACCCATCTTTTTTCGTTGCTTTTAATTTTTTATTTTAGTAATTTTAGAAAATTCTTAATTATATCCTCCTTAATTTTTTGATTTTTTTTATTCTTTTTCTAAGTAAATTTATTGAAATAAATAAGTCTAATGCATAAGCTATACCTATATTCTTATATTCTAATCATTGAAATTTTGATTGAAATCGAATTATACAGGGTGGCGCGTCATATACGACGCGGTTTTTACAAGGAGAACAAAAGTTTGTATTGAAGTGAAATTTTGTGAGCTTATATAAGTCAATTTAAAGCATTTTCTAACATTATGTAGAGTTCTACAGGGTGTCCCGTTTGGCATATCAAGGTTTTGTTTTTTGTAATGGAATGCCCTATATATTAATTGATTTTTTGATTCTATTAAAAAAATAAAGGTTTGCTTCATTAGAAAAGTATATGACTAAAATGTATAGTTTTTGAAATACATTCAGGCGGCACGAAAAATGGGTACCCTAAAACTTTGATATATTTTAAAGGTTAATATATTTTGTTTTAATGGGCCAATTTTGATGATTTTTTAATCAGTGTGTAGCCAAATTATTTGACTTTTTAGTATATTTTTCTAAATTAAAAATGAAACTCACCATCTGTTAATTATACGAGGGAAAACAAAATGTTGATATTTAACAATATTTATAAAAAAACAGTGTAATTTTGTAACACATTAACAAAATTACTAAACAATGCACGGCCTAAAATTAGAAAACAACAACACTATAAAGAAAAAGTATTCTTATTCCATACATAATTTTCCATACTCATTCTAACATTTATCTTTGTGGTATCCAAGTATTTTATTACTGAATATGTCTAATATAATACACATTCCAAAAGCACCGAATGAATAAGAACAATATTAAATTTTTCGACGCATAAAAGGAGAATTTGAACAAAACACTCAAGGATGAAAATTCTTGGGCGAAAACAGTTTAATAATGTTTTTGGAAATCCCTGCGGATAGGCGGTCAGCATGCCCGGCTTTTGATTTGCGCCTCACAAAGATAAACTTTGAAGAGCACGGATTTTGGCGGATTTTGGCTTAAGTTAAGGCCTACAAAAATGAAGGCTTGCTGCATTAGATTTCGTTTTTAAATATCAAATCTATGAGGAATAGAAATATCAACTCTATGATCAATTGAGATGTTTGGTGCCAATATGTTCAGACTGAATTATTCTATATTTTTGTTTTGACTGCTCCAGTGACCGTTGGAAAATATTAGTACACTGAACAAGGCCTTTATTGTCACACTAAGTCATACTGAACCAAACCTACCTCTTTTTTCCACAATGGAATACATGTTTCTATGTTTTAATTGTGTTATAATAACTAAATAAAAATGTTTTATTTTGGCGTTGTTGACAGGTTATGATTGGCGTTGTTGACAGGTGACTAGTTCCAAATTTCTACACAGATAGCGCTAAATCGAAACATTTTGGAAACAAGCTTTCCATTTACTGTCGATTCATTTTCGAAACACGTAA